TACAATTAATTCACCTCAGTGACTTGACAGTAAAGACCCAGCACACCAAGTCATTTAAATTGGCATAAATCATGAATGTAAGATATATATGGCAACAAAAAATTAAGTCACTAGGGCAGGTGTGGTGGAATATCATGTTGATCCTCCACCTCCTAGTGCCAGCATCCCATACGGATGCTGGTTCAAATCCCAGCTGCTCTACTTCCGATTCAGTTCCTTGCATATTGTCTGGGATAGCAGCGGCAGAAGGCCACGGGCCCCTGTAGCCACAAGGGAGACTGGGAAGAAACTCCTGGCTCCCAACTTCGGATCAGCTCAGTTCTGGCCACTGTAGCTGTTTGGGAAGTGAACCCAAATGGAAGATCTCTGTAAAATCTGCCATTCAAATCAAAATAAATTTCACAAAAAAAGTCATCAAATGCACTTAAAAATTGTTTAAATCAATTTTAGTACCATTATATCTCCCACGTTTTGTGACACATTTTGCTTTCTGAGTTTTGTGCTGTTTTACAGTGAGCCATCACTCTGCCAGGCCTTCACACATATAAAACTAGATTATTCCTGACATGGTCTCATCACCAATCCAAAGTCAGCTTTGGAATTTGTTCTTCGATAGGAGACAAAGGACATGGTGAGAGAAACCCATCCTCCCACAGGCAGCCGATGTGCTAGGAGGCCAACTCCAGTGCCGCATGCACACACAGGAGATAAAACCTCACTGTTTCCAAGAGGTAGATGGTACAAACCCAGCTCTCCCTCTCATACTCAATGACCACCTCGATTTCCTCATGTCCAAAGTAAAAGCTAGGGGCCGGTGTGGTAGCCTAGTGGCTGAAGTCCTCGCCTTGCACACATCCAGGATCCCACAGGGGCACCAGTTCTAATCCCAGCGGCTCCACTTTCTATTCAGTTCCCTACTTGTGGCCTGGGAAGGCAATCAAGGACGGCCCAAAGCCTTGGGACCCTGCACCCATATGGGAAAACCTAGAGGAGGCTCCTAACTTCGGATCTGCACAGCTCCAGCCACTGCAGCCACTTTGGGAGTGAAACAGCAGATGGAAAATCTTCCTCTTTGTATGTCTGACTTTTCAATAAAAATAAATAAATCTTAGGAAAAAAAAAAAACGACAGTTTCTCCTTCACCGTGGATGCTGTCACACAGCATATGGTACTATATGAGGATTAAATCCCTCAATACATACACAACTGCCCAAGGTCAACAGTGATGCAGAGTGGGAAAATCCAGAAATAACCAATTCATAAAATTTCAAATAACTTTTAATATATTATTGTAACTGTTCTGTCTCAATTATAATACCACTTCATCTCTTACTGTGCTTAATTAATAAAAGAAACTTTATCATAGTATATATGTATGGGAAAAACCAGAGTATGTACAAGGTGCCTCTCAACTTACATAGGGACTGTGTCCCCATGAACTTAACAGACATTCAAATACCACCAAGCATAGTGTGTTTTTAATGCACATAGCACACAGTCCATCCTAGGTCAGCTCACAGCTTCCCCTCCCTACTGCAGAGGACTGACTAGGTCCTGGCTCTGCCTGCCACTGCCAGAGATCATCTCCTATCAGCTGTCACTAGCCTGGGGCAAAGATCCAAATTAACAACACTACGTACAGTTCCCACTAAATGTGTCCTAAGTGGTATTACCCAACCTCAGAACTGTCAGAACTAGCTCTGGCAATCAGACACGCCCTAGTGGTCTGGAAACCTGGGACCCTGTCTCCAAGGATAAGCTACTGCCCAGCAGTGGAGTGACGACCACAGTGAAAACAGTTAAACACACAACTCACAACCTAAGGGTATCACAGAAATGCTTCTCGCGACATGGGTAAAACTTCCAAATTACAGTATCCCAGACTCTCTTCCCCACTTGACTTTAAAAAGATGTATTTATTTCAAACGCAGATGTCGAAGAAGGAGAGTAGGGTAAGAGAGAAGGATCTTCTTCCGCTGGTTCACCCACAAAAGCACCCACAAAAACCAGAGACAAGGACTCCTCCTGGGCCTCCCACAGGTGGCAGAGGCTACGCACTGGCCATTCTCCACCGTCTCCAAAGATTCCTCAGAAGAAACCCGGATCCAAACCTGAATAATCAGGACCCAAGCAAGGATTCAGAGATAGGAGCAAGCAGCTTCACCTGTGCGTACAGCACTGGTGAAAACAATGTGAAAACACAGGAGGAAGTAAGCTTTTCAGCACAGTGACTCCTGCCCATGTCCCACGGAGCAGGGGTGAGGAGGAGTGGGGTTGGGTGTGCGTGTAGCGGGTGTGCGTGTAGCGGGTGTGCGTGTAGCGGGTGTGTGTGTGTGTGTGTGTGTGTGTGTGTGTGTGTCTGTCTGTCTGTCTGTCTGTCTGTCTGTCTGCATTCCCAGTTCTGGCTCCTGACCTGAGTTTCCTGTGTGCAGATCATACAGACCATAGGAGGGAGTAGGGATAACTCAAGTCACTGTGGGAGACTCAAACTGCAGCCCCACGGCAGCACAGATCCTATGGGCATTTAGGGAGTAACCCAGCAAATGGAAGGCGGTCTCTCAAAAAAGAAACTTAATGTAAGAACACACTGAGGCACACGTATTCCTTAAAATATTCCTATACAGTTGATCTCCCCAAAAGGGAAATCATTTAACTGTTAAAAATCTCACACGTAGCTCTACAGCTCCTCCCAAAAGTTAATGTCAAATAAGCAAACAGAATGGATGCAGAACACCGTAAGCAGGTGCATGCTCAGGTTCACAGTGTGGCACTCCGGGAGACAGCCCTGTCGGCTCCTAGGAGCTCGTCTGGCCCAGCCCACTGCAGGGACTCAGCAACTAACGCCTCGAAGTCAGACCACACTCCTTTCTCATCACTGTCCCCGAGCCCTGGGTGATTCCTGGTGTTCCTAACAGGATGCCAGACAATTCTGTAAAGGGACCTGGAAGGGAAGGGTGGCAAAGACAGCACACGAAAAGCAGCGAGCGCAGAGTGTTCAGAAGGACAACTCCTCCCCCTAGTGCTCACAACACCAGGATGCTGAAGGCGAGCTCTTTATAACTGAGGAAAGTCATTCAGGAAACTACACTGGAAATAGGACCCCATGCAACAACAGCGCAGAGCTGGGTATCCGGCCCCATAACCAAGACACTTGCTGCCAAGCCCAGGTCCCAGATTCCAGGCCCTGGGGGCAACGTCCACCACCAGCTCCTGACACCAACTTTCTCCAGGCACAGACCTGAGAGGCAGGGACAATGGGTCAAGCAGCTGGGTCCCAGCCACCCACAGGGTGGAACCTGGGTGGAGTTGCAGGCTGCTGGCCTCCACTCAGCCCAGCCCTACCAGGCGGGCACTCGGGGTGTAAACAAGTGGCTAGAGGCAGTCCTGTGCTCCAGCTCCAGCTCCACTGAAGTTCCTGCGCTCGCTTTGCCTCTCAAATCACAACCAACAAGGGCCACATCTCGTCACCTGTAAGGTCAAAGGCATCATCATCCGCCTTCCAAGGAGAACAGCACATGTGAAATGTCCTCTCAAACTCCAAACCTAGTCACTTCTGTGAAGAACACTCTATACTGAAGCTGTGGAACCCATCAGGTATGTCTAACCAAAGCAACCTGGCAGATTTCTACTGAATCCAAACACAAAGCTGCAATTCAACGAGGCCCAGGGTTCCAGGCCTCCTCCTCCACTGCTCCACACTGCCTTCTAAATACACACACAACTCACGTTTATGTAAGATTAATGCTTCAAAAGTTAAACACCTAATTCAAGGAAGGGAGATTATTACAAAAGCAAACACCCAAGCGTTCTAACTAGAACTTGTAACACTTAATTCACAGGTATGGCACTGAACCCATTTAATTTCCTGTCTCCACACAGTTAGCCTGTTAGACCATTTTGATTGATAACAGGGGCAGAAATCCAGCTGTTATATTTAACTTCAGCCACATGACCAGGAAACCGTTCTTAACAGGTAAAGTTCCTATAGCACAGAACTGTAGAACATAGCATCTTAATGGCTGACCCACCTTGAATTTTTAATAAGCACTCCTATGTGCGCGAATGGCCCCTTACAAGTGGTATTTCTCTCGAAGGCTCGGAAGTGTCTTTTGAGAGGTATTCTCTATCAATTCACTTTAGTAGTGAAAACCTACAGATAATGCTTTCATGTCACAGGGAGAGCCAAACTCAAACCTATTACCATTCAGAGCACGGGAAACCAAACTCATAGCTAAAATACTCAGTGTGGGGAAAAAAGCAGATAGCTACTCACAAAATTCTCCTCATCCCCAAATTATCTGCTGAGGAGTCAAACTTTACCATTGAGACTACATACTTCCTACTGCACAAAACAGCAGCTTGAGACGCACAACAACGGAAGGCATACTACCTGCGCATCGAAACCTCCAGTCTCTGAGACTTGTCTCATCCGGGACTCTGCACTGCTACTCCCTAGAACCACAGCGGCTTTCAATAACACTAACAATTCATCACAGGCAAAAACACAGCACAAGACACAAAACTGTCCTCGCAGGAACCGCAGCGAGGCCTGCCAGGTCAGCTATGTTACTGCTGTGGGTCACCGGAAACCCGTCTCAGGCCTAACGACAACCTGCCGGAGCGGGACAATCACAGGCAGGTTCTTGGAGTCACCTGCCACTCTGCCATTCAGGTCCGCAGCACTGGCTCATCAGCAAGGCCCAGAAGTACAGGTGTCCTAAGAATCTTTAAGTACAAATTTGGAAGGCGTGTCACTTCAATTCTAACCCAAGCAAGTTCTAGGCAGAGGAACGCTCTACGCGTGGAATCTAGGACTCCCGGTATCTCACAGTAATAGAACCATCAGCACCTCTGAAGTTCTCACAGTTGGAACTCACCAATAGCCAGCCAGGGGAGCTCTCCAAACATAAGGGCTGGATGCGACTTGCACAGGAGCGTCAGCATCCTGTAAACGTGAACTTGGGGCGTCAGGAGGACTGAAGCCGACACCGTCACCTTACCTTATCCTTTTCATGTGGAAGGAGTGCCACGGGAGGCAAACAGGAGAGAGACTCGCAGGCCGCCTTCCCCTCCACGCCGCCTGCTTTCGTGCTGAGCCGGTAAAGAGGTCCATCTTTGAGGAGGCGGCCATGGCCCACGGCGCGCTTGATAGCCAATCGTAGCTGCTGGTGAAAGCCAGAGGCGGCCCCGCCTCCAAATAACGCGGACACATCTTTCTGACCTTTCAGAAACCGCTCAATACTTTTCAAAGTTGAGCCCCCAGACTCCGCCAAGCCCTCAAATGCCCTTTTTATCAGTTTATTCCAATCCACATTTTGTTTACTCTCCAATTTTCCATGGTTTCGAGGTTTGGGAAGTGCTATTCGCCCAGGATTATCAGGATCTTTATAGGAATTGAGTCCTTTATTTGAGACTTTTAAAATTGTTCCATCTTTAACGCTCAACTCCAATTGCTCTAGGACAGTTTTCCGATCCAAGCCATGGGAGGACGACACCGCGTTGCATATCCTTTCCTCCGAAGGACGCTGTTTCTGCTTCTTGACTTTCTTGATGGCCTCCAAAATCCACTCGGTATACAGCGGGTTAGCGAGTTTTACCATGGTGAAGGATGCTGTATATCCATAGAGTCGCTATCCCTTATCCTGATGCTGCGTCAGTCTCACACCATGGAAATCAAGACTCTCGGAGGCTGGGGGCCAGTTAACCATAGCATACACGTTTGCTGGCCTGAGTCCTTCCTCGTGTCCTCACACAACGGAATACCTCTGCCCTCTGACTTCAGAAACGTAAACAGCCTGTCACTTGAAACACCTTCAAAGTGCCCAACGGCACCACGCGTGGGGCTCTTCATCAAGCTGCAAGCACCCGACACGACTCATTCCCAGCTTCAGGGTGGAAAAACATGCATCCTATGCCTGAAAAACAATGAGAACAGAATCAGACTTCCATGGAAACCTGGAGTGCAAACAGGCTACGATTCTAACCCCCTAGTCTTAGAGCAATCAAACAGCCAGCTAATTTGCTGGGCACTGATGGCACAAGTTTTCACTCATTACTGTCACATTCCAAAACAGCTGTAGGATTTAGAAAGCAACAAATGACATGAGGAATTAGACAAGATGGGAAGCTCCAGGAAGGACCTGAAGCCACGAGCCACCCAAGGGTGCTGCCCATGCAGCACACGACAGGCTCTGCTCACCGTCCACGGACTTCACCTCCTCCTCGACACGCTTCCCAAAGAAGCTCTTCAGCACTTCAGCAAGTATGGGGGGTTAGCAGCCAGAACTCTGCAAGGAGACAAGAATGAATCTCTCATCCTTCACAACTCCAGACACTCAGAGTGGATGAGACAGTTAATAACATACGCAGAAACCCGCTAAGCACGACCACCACAATTCACTCAGACCATGGTCGTGTTCTACGTACCGTACTGCGTTAGTGAACTTACCAAAATGGAAAAACATGTGCCACCCATCTGCTGGGACAGTGCTTAAAGAATTGTCAAATCGTCCAATTTGCTTCATAGTTGAACTATTACATGCTGGTAACACAACCCTAAGCTACTGAGACCCACAGAGTGGAGGCTGTAATTGTTCCTCAGCAATCTACAAAAAGAAAGACCCAGCATCACTGCGGGGGGAGGGGACGCACAAGTCCATCCTATAAGCCTCCAGGTACACACCAAAAGAAATAACGCTGGCTGCTGCTGCTCCTGCTGCTGTGACACCAGGCTGCTGTCCTGAAATGCACATCCATGGATAAAGAATCAGCATACAGACATACAATGAGACTGTCTCCCTGGGTCAGAGTTCACACTCTTTCACACAAAATCTGACAAACCTGAGTTTTCCTGAACTCACTTTTAGTGATGCATTTCAAAAATAGCCAAGTCCTAGGCCTCCAAAAGTTAAGCTGTGTTTTCTGGAACTTTGGCAATTGTTCTGGAGAACACTTACATTGCAAGCACATGGGGCTAGGAGGCTGGCAACAACAACAACTGTTCTTAAAGGTGACATTAAAGTCAAAAGAGTGCAGACACTAGCCAAGAGCCAGAACTATTGCCTCCGAGCAGGACAAAAAGGCTCAGGTGAAATTCATCGTGAAACTAACTTCTGCACAAGGAAATCCTTTGGCGAGGGTCTCAAAGAAGGTCGGTATCTCACAGGACCGCTCCAAAGAAAGATCACTCCACAGACCGCAGCGGTAGGCCAGGTGCGGGGTTGCCACATGAGCGGTCCGGACAGACCGGGGACAGAGGTGCCACAATGAATGACAGCTACTCATTGTCTCTCTCAGGGCCGAGTCTCCGGGGGTCTTCCGGAGGCGCGGTGCCGCGGACTAGAACCGCGGCTCCGAGGAAAGTGCACCTGAGGCCGCAGCGCGCACCCCGCTCCCGGCCCCTGCAAAAGCCTCTGCACGCTCTCTTCTTACACAGCAAAGAAACTTTTTAAAAAATAATAAAACTTGCAACGGCAGCACCCCCAGCTGCCTGCCAACGGGCTGCCCGCTCGCGCGACGGGAACAGAACCCGAGGAGTTAAAGTTAACAATGAAATCACGTGAAGGAGTTTCAGCGCCGAGGTCCTCCTGCGCCCCGCGTCCCCCAAAACCCCCCGCGCTCCAGGCCGGCCCAGGCTGCAGCGAGCCTTAGTTCCCGCAGCTCCGTCCCCGGCGCGAGGGTTGACAGCGGCCCGGACCGAGGCTGACAGCCCGGCAGTCACCACCCCCGCACGTGCCGCCGCCTCCGCAACCACAACACCGCCCGGCTGTCACCCCCGTGCGCCTCGGCCGCGGCCCCGCTCGGGGATCCGCGCGCCCGCCCGCCGGCAGCCGGGCAGGGGCAGCGCCCGGGCCGCGGCCGGAGCGCCAGCCCCGCGACAGCGCGGCGGGCGGCGGGGCGCAGGTGGGGCCGTGGCGGTGGGCGCGCCCCGAGGGAGGGAGAGCGGGCTCCGCCGGCGCAACCCGGCCCCCCAGGCGCCGCGGCCGCCGCGGCCTGGCCGCCCCGCCGGCCTTTTCCCCGGCCGGGGCCCGGCCCGCGCGCATACCCGAACGGGGACCCAGAGCCGCGAAGGCAGGGCGGGCCGGCCGGCGCGCGCGCGGGCCGCGGGGCGGGGGAGCCGGGGCGCGAGGGGCCGGCCACGGCGCCCCAGCCCAGAGGCCTGGCGCAGAGCAGCGGGAGGCGGCGCAGGCCGCGGCGGGGCCTGCAGCCCGCCCGCCGACCCCGCGAGGCCGCAGAGCGGGGTCCGGAGCGGCGCCGCCTCGGGCTCGGCGGCCGGGGACGGTCGGGAGTGGCCCCGCGGCTACTTACCGGGGGGAAAGACAGCCGGGATCCCGGGGCCCCGAGCCGGACCGCGGAGATGCCCCAAACTGACACGGCCGCCATCTTGGAGACAGTGAGCTCTGGCCGGGGGGAGGGGAGGCGAGGCGGCGGAACAGCCGCGGGGGGAGGGGAAGCGTCGCGAGGGAACGGCCGCCGGGGGGAGGGCGCGGGAACAGCCCGGGCGGGAGGCGACGGGGAGGAGGGCCGAGCGGGGAGCGCGGAAGTGTGTGTGGGGTTGGGGGGGGGGGGTGGCGGCCGAAGAGCGGGAAGAGCTGGGCCGGGAGCCGGGAAGGGCCGGAGGGCGGGGCGGGCCGGGAGGGAAGAGCCGGCCGGGCGGGTCACGTGGGGCCGGTACAAAAGGCCAAAGCCAAAGCGGGAGGAGGACTCGGCGGGGCTGGAGGCCAACGGCTGGGTGTCGTAGCCCGCGTCTCTGGCGCGGACGCCGGGGTGTGTGTGTGCGTGCGCGCGCGCGCCTGTGTGGAACGGGTCGGGAGGGGAAGCTGGCGGACCCCCGCCGCCGCCGCCAGCACCTCCACGCAGCCGGGGAACCTGAGGGCAGGCGGCGTGGGTGGGGCGGCGTGGGCCCGGCGCGGAAATCCGGCGGGCGGGCGGCGGTGTTTACGCGGAGCCCAGCCGGGTCTCCCACGACGGCTGCGGGCGCCCCCTGTTCGTCCTTCCCGCGCCTGAGGAGGAGCGGAGCGGGGTGCGCTGGGGAGCCGGGCTCGCCTCAGCCGCCGCGCGGCGCGCACGATGCCCTCCCTGCCGGTTCTGCCCCGGCGCCGGGCTCCAGGTGTGTGGTGTGTGTGCGCGCACACCTGCGCACGCCTGAGTTTGTCGCGCCCCAGCCGCCGCCTGTGCACGCCCCGGGCCGAAACCGCCAAACTGGCACTTGGTCACGGCCTGCCTGCAGCGGCGCCGATGTTCCTTTTGTCTCGTCTCGTGTAGTTTTAAACTCTGGAAGACAGGGTTTGAGTCACACTTGTTCCCGCCCTGGCCCCGCGTTCACGGGAATGACAAATGGAGACCCGCACTCTCGGCTGTTTCTTGGAAAGTGTGCACTTGCCCACGTCGCCCTTCCCGAAACACCTCCTCGCATCTCGATTTGCTCCCAGCTAAGAGGTTCACCTCCTTTCCCCGACTGATTGCGATATTGATCATTTATCTGCTCCGTTCTTTGGCGCCTGCTGCACGGTCCGCGATGAGCGCTTTGCGTTTGCCAAGTACCAAGCATAAGGTACCTTCGCTAGCAACCATTAAACAAACAGCAGCAACACACGAGCATTTAGAGCCCAGGAGTTCAGTCCAGGTACCCACATGGGAGATAGGGCCCCCAGGCAGGTAACTCATCAGCTGCTGTTCCCCCTCTGTCCCTAAGGTGCGGATTAGCAGGACCCTGGCATCGGGAGCAGAGCCAAGACTCAGATGCAGTTGTCCTAAATGCTGGTGAATGTGTGTGAGAGAGGGAGAATATATACACCTTACACCGCCTGAACCATTGTGTAACAACCTAATAACCTTATGTTCAGATTACAGGCCACTAAGTCACCCCTTGTCACCTACCTCCAGCCCCCTCTCCAGATGAGAGAAAATGGGGGACACAAAATTATGAGAGGAACCTGTATTGGCCTGTAATAGCCCTCGCATTAAGGCGCTGGTTCCTATCCCAGGTGCTCTATTTCTGATGCAACTCCCTGCTCAAGTACTTGGGCTCCTGCACTCAAGTGGGATACCTGGATGAACCTTCTGACTTCAGCCTGGCCCGGTCCAGCTGTTCCAGCCACTTAGGGGGTGACCCAGACTGGAAGGTACTGGGAGATGTTTTCTCTATCTATCCTTCTGTAACTCCTTCAAATAAAAATAAAATCTCCCCCCAAAAAGTAATAATAAAATACGAAGATGGATAGCTTCTGTTCTTGGTGAGTCAAACTAAATGGAGCCGTGTACGTAAGGAAAATACATCCAGGAGGGAGGAAAAATTCTCTCTGGTGGAATAAGTGGTAAAGGGCTTCTGTTTGCAGAAAGTGACAAAGTCCCATTTATAGAAAAGGAGTTCTTCCTGCCAGACAAGAGTGCGTGCTCTTCATAGCGGTGGGAGGGGGGTGAAATTATATGAAGAGTTATGTTTGCTTTAGGATGATTTGGAGGAAAGCTTGCCACTATGGTCCCAGAGAGAAGACCTTACTGGAGATGGAGCACCCAGCAGCCAGAATGGAAAACAATTTGCAACAAAAAAGGCAGTTGAGCTTTTCAAGCAGCTTGCATAAAGAGACTTGACTTTACATTTACATAGCTAAATGGTTCTCCGGAGGCCTTCTCACAATGAAATTTTGCCACAAAGACAGATTAAAGTCTTCACTCTTTGCAAGTTGAAAAACAATCAGCAGCTCTGAAAAGCAGCTTTTCTTAGCTCCCATCCAGGGCCAGGTGCTGCAGGTGACGTCTCCCTTCAGTCTTGCTCATTAACTGTGTTTCCGCACAGAGCCTAGGTTAACCAAAAAAGGGAGGATTGCTGTGTTCAGTTTTAGTGGGAGAAATTTTTAGCACATTTACATTTAATATAATTACTGGCAGATTCAAATATCTTGTCACCATCTTCCCATGTATTTTCTTGGGGTCCACTTAAATCTCTTATTTCTTTCTTGCCTCCCCTTGGAGTGTATTGAAATGTTCTCGTGTATTCAGGCCCTTCCACGAGCTTACGAATTGCGTGTAATTTTACTAGTTTTTGACATTACAGCATTCCTGTTTGACTTATGCACTCCAAGGTAAGTTCGGACTTCAACTCTGACCTTAAAGTACTTTGCTGTCAATTCTCCCGGCTTTGTGTGTATTGTATGTCTTAAGCCTAATGATTGCACTGTTCTTTAAGGCCAAAACTCTTCCGCTCACCTAATTATTTACTCTTTCTGTTGCTCTCCATCCCAGTGATAACTTTCCCTGCTTCTGGAATTTTTCCTCTGATCCCTCCTTTCCAAAGTGGGGCTCCTGGCAATGAGTGCTCTCTGGTCTTGTTTTCTTTTTGCCTAATTAGTTTATGTCACTCTTTTATGTTTTTACCAGGCAAGATCAGTCTTTTAAATGTTCCCTGCCATTATCTTCTGATTTCCATCATTCCCGCTCAGTCCTTTGGGAGTCTTCTGCTCTCCATCTCTGAGTTCCACATCCATGGTTCAACCAACTACCGATACCCGCCCCCCCAAAAAAAATTTTTTTAACTGTATCTGCAACTGAGCACATACCAACCTTTTCTTTCTTCTTGTGGCTGCTCCTGGAATACTACAGTATGAATTGAAAAGAAAAAACTTAGAATAGAGAAATTTAATTTAATTCTTTGCCTTCTGTACTTTACTTGCCTTACTTGCTGAGAATAGCTGAATAGGACTTCTCTTGGTAAATGATTAAGTCCAATTAGGATTCAGGATACAACAGTGGCCCTGAGATAGGTATCTCAGGAGGAATCAAGGTAAAATTGTGAGGAGACAGAATGTCCCTGACTTCTTGGAGGAGACTCCAAAAGTCTGAGAAAAGTAAACTCGGTCTGAGAAAAGCAAACTCAAGGAAAATTGTGACAAGAAACTGAAAGAAACAGCAGTCTTATGATGTAATGGTCAGAAAAAAAAAGCCCCTAGGTTTATGATTTTATGGTTTTTAGCCTTTACCATTTGTGCAAGTGATTTTAAAATGCTGTGTAAGTGATTTGGGCCTATAAAAAGAATGTTGTATAATGGCTCACGGGTGGTGTGTCTGCCCTCCTGCGTGAGGAACTGGCCCCAGCCCCAGCACGCAGATACCCGAATAAAACCTCATGCTTTTGCATCAAGCCTCGTCTTCGCTGATCATTGGGAAGACTCACTTTCTCGAGAGAGTAGGTAAGGCTGTCCTCACTTCCCGAGGCCTTACAGAATGACAACAATTTGCATCACATTTGCATTCTGTTGAGTATGGCAGGTCATCTAGAGATGCTGGTGTTGTAGAATGTTTTGACGCAAAACATGGCAGTTACCTCATTTCTTGTATCATACGAAAGAAGAATTTTCATGTGGACAGTTCCAATTTGCAAAGCAAGATTTATTTATTTAGGAAAAAGGGAAAAGGTGTTGTGAGGTTGCAAGTGAGATCACATCAGACAAGTCTAAGGTTTATTAAGGAGTATTAACCAAGTTTGGTGATAACAGGGTCCACTACAAATAGCAACTCACAAATCCATACAGCAATCCAGTCAGTCATAACCCTAAGAGGGACAAATGTTCATTACCCTGAAGTTCATCCCTTACGCTGAAGACCTATGTCCCAGCTTCCCCAGCAATACAAGTTCTCCTAAGAGACAGGCAATGAATAACCTGGGCACACTTAGAAAGCTGCAGACATTCACCTTTCACTGACTAGCCCCATGACAATTTATGTGAAAGGCAGATTTTACAGAGAAAGAGAGAGAGAAGGAGAGACACAGAGAGGTCTTCCATCTGTTCACTCACTCCCATGTAGCTACAGGG